TTCTTCTTCTTCTTCTTCTTCTTCTTCTTCTTCTTCTTCTTCTTCTTCTTCTTGTCGCAATCGTCGTGGTTGTCGTCATCCTCTTCATATTATGCCCCTTGTCTCTATCCGAATACCGCACTCTTTTATGTGATTGAATCTTTAGTTACAGAAATGTATGGATATGACATGGTCTGGCAATACTACAGTATATTTTACGAACGGTGTTCAGCGAACCAAAAGTTTTAAGCAATATAATTGCAAAATCTCTTTTGTTTCCGGCACAGTGCCGATGGACAAGTTCACCAGACAATGCCAGAAGAGCAACATGTGGGCTCGCCGTCGAAACAACACAGCCAGCAGAAGTCTGGAGAGTAGTCTCCGTCATCTGGAGAAGGGATATAACCGAAACTACCGCCAATATCTTCGAGACAAGATCAGGCAAGTGACCGGTCATTCTCTACTTCACTCATCATTTCTGACGCTCACAATATGACCTTATGCAGTTGCGAGCGCCCTTAAACCTTACTGAAACAAACACAAATTCATCATTTTATTACTTCATTCCGTCAGTTATTTTTTCAGTTGCATGGAGTTCTAACGTTGATTATTTTTAATAGTAGATTGATTTGTTAATGGTCAAATTTCATATCTCTTGACATCACGATCAATTCTCTTTTTTGAGATATTGGTGAATTGTTGATCTGATTTATTTATTTACTCACTGGTAGCTTTTTTTAAAAATCTATTCATCAATGAATATATCAACTTTCATACCAGTTAACAGATTGATAAATTGACTTGTTGACTGGTTGATTTTTTTGGTTGGTGGGTATATCTTTTAGTTCATTCATTTGTTGAAAGTTGATTTTGAAAGTTACCTCTTTAGTTATACTTTTAGTTTTTTAAATGTTCACTAAATGTTTTCATGTGCAAGGGTTTAATCGTTTAGTCTAGTGCGAGTCCAGGCAAACAATGAAATCGAAAATGGTATAATGTAGTACAAACATTAGCCTTCCATCCCTTCGGCCGTGTCGTATGTAGTTATCCAGGTCTGCCAACTTAAGTGGGTCATCCTTGGTTTCTCTAATCTCCCCTTCGTTCTTGTTAAAAATTTTATGGCGTTTATGTAGTGCATTAACGCATGCAAAACCAAGTCAATTTATTATTTTTCTTACATAGTGTTGTTTTCCTTTGTTTTTATCCTCGTCGTTTTCTTGAAAATAAATACGTGTGATATTTTTGGTTGGGTCAATTTTCAGGTTACAGTCGGACCTCAGAGATCTGAAGCATGTCCCGACAGAGGCTGAAGAACAACTGAGCTCAAATGACGGAAGCCAGCTAATAGTAGTTCCGGGGGCACATTTTCCCCAGAATGATTCCACGGAGGCCAACGGCAGCTACGTCATAATTCCACCACGTAGTCAAGGTCTTTTAAATACCAATACGGCCAGAAATACGACGAATCGGAAACCTGATCCTCGACCTCAAAGTAAAGATAGACCGGCCTCTAATTTACCGCCAAGAAGCATCTCCGCTCTGTCTCTTGCATCGACTATTCCTCATGGAGTGCGTGATCTTAGCAGCAGTCTTTCAGACACTCACGCAAAGATCAGTTCAAGTGGGGGTATAATTACAAGTACGCCTCTCGCTCCTGTTGACTCGTCTTTCGTTACGCGAAGTCATACAGTCGCCGACTTGAGCTTTCCAAACAGGACGTGGGCAGAAACTTCCGGAGGTTCCCGAGTCTGTAAAATTTCCCGTCCTCTCACATCGACCCACTGTTGCCAGTATTTCCCTTGCACAACGCCCATAACGTACCACACCATAGGGTTCCGCAGAGACGATCTGGGGCCCTGGGTTACTGACGGTAGAAAGTTCAAAGCGGAAAGGCCAAGAGAAAGTCAAAACAGTGAATCCAGTCCACGCTACGCGTCTGACCCACGACTAACCATGGCTTCCAGTCGTGACTCATCTCGACTGAAAAAGACTCAGAAATTCGAGGATCAGTTTTATTCTATTAATTTGTCAGCAGACTCTTCTGGAACATGCAACACATCTTCGTCCACTGTCTCTGGAACAGCAGAATCTGCAACCGAAAACTTTCGCGACCGTGTCTCAGGAGCACGCAAGACCACAGGTCAGTTTTGTCCAACTATTGACGGTCCACTCTTTGGGCCTAAACCATCAGATCCTATTCTAGAATACGTCCGACAAGGCTCCACGAAGCCGATGGAGATCGCTACCAGGTCGTGTGCCCGGGTGAGCATCAAAGACAAACTGAGAGGGCTCAGACAGCTGGTGGGGGAGATGCGAGCCCGCAACGAGAACGTTCGACCTCGTGATTGGGCAGTCAATTACGGGGAGCGTGTACCCACGAGGATCTTGTTGAACCCTGTAATACCATTGTAGATTTACTTGTATAAATATGTTTCAAGAAGGCTATTTTTCTTCCGTGACTGTTATTATAGGAATACTTATTGCGTGATAATTACCACATGGGGTGGTGTTCAGGCAACAAGGCTATTGTTCGTTTTGGCTGGCAGTCATTGTAATTAAAGGACAGTACAAACAAGAGGATACTGAGAAAAGCCAAGCAACTCCGTCCAGGTTGACCGTTTTTACTACAATAAACTAGAAGAAGTAACAACTTTGTTTTAAAAAATTTGTGAAATTGGTAATGTCTAAACATAATACACATTATTATGTACAGTCACAAGTTACATCTCGTCACATGGTATATCTTACCTTACATAAGATTGTCTTTGCAAACATGCCATCCCCAAATTGAGAGTAAACAAACAGCCGAGAGAATGAATACGAAGTGTAGCAGCGTTAATTTTTAGTGGGGAAATGTGCCATTACCTGTTGTTGTGTTAGGACTGGGACATGGCTGTGTTCTTTACTAGATATGTTTGTTCTATCAGTTAAGGTGGCGCCAATTCCCCCTATTTATCGAATTCATTTTTGAGATGTGTCGCAACTTCTGGGGATAGCAAGTACCAATCTGTAAGGTTAGATGACCAGCGAGGGACGCTGTAACCCCCGACAGCGTAAACGGTGTGCATTATAACGGGCATGTTGCAAGCTATCAATCCCACCTTACCCCATCCAGCTGATGTTGTTTTTTTTTTTCTCCAAAGACTATTATGATGGAAGTCCCGGTGGCCATTTCCGTTATCCTATCATTCTATCATCATGGAACTTTTGATTCTTTTTGTATGAATCGTTGTTTCTGACAGTGATGACAGGCCAAGTTGATACGGACATTAAAAATGAATGCAAAATCAAAATGATAAAACAAAGCCATGTCTGGCCCCGTCCCGTATGGTTAACGAACTTGACCTTCCCGACCTAACAGATAGAACTGACAAGAGGAGTGCAAGGATAGTCCGTTTGCACATAATGTCAAATTCCAGTTTACTCAAACCAGCAACCCTCACCATTTTCCCAAACTATGTGCACTTTGCTGAAGTAAATGAGAACTCCAGTCTCTGCAGAATATAACTTTCAATTTAAAAAAAACAAAAAACTTTTTGATTTATTTAAAAAAAAAATTTCTGTATGCGTTGAAGAGAGATTCACTTATGCTATTCAGCCCCCAATTTAGGTACTGAAACCGTTGTCACTTAACCCACTTTTTCGTATGAGTCACCTTTAAAAAACATAAAGTTATTAATTTGTAATGACGGCGACAGGCCAAGAATAGAAGTGCAAATACATGTATTGATGTTTAAAAGACACCAATATTAAGAATGGCATTGCACCTGAATAACTTAAATTTAAAATAATAAAACTGTGTTTTAGGCTATCTCATAACGTTGATTTTAAATTATCATTAGGCTTTAAAAAACCTTTGTTTCAATTTCCCTTTTCAGATGGAGAGGTACTCATTATTTTCTTTGAACAATATGTCATTTTGGGTTGGAAAAGTGTGTGTGTGTGGGTGTGGGGGGGGGGGGGCAGTTCTGGTATCCCTCGCTCTTATTATTGTTATTGTTTACATATTATCCTGTTTGTTCATGTTTTTGCTTGGGGGGGGGGGGGGCTGGTTGGTTCCGTTCATTTTGTTGGGGTGGGGTTTTTTTTGTCCTGCTTTGTCTGATTTTTAACCACTGTCCTATTTCATATTTGAAGGAAGAGCGTTGGAGGGAAAGAGGGCGGCAAATGGGAAAGACCTACCCGGGCTTTCAATGTATTTGTCCAATGTATTGTGCAATATGTGTGCAGTGTCGAGGTGTCTTGTCTTTCACTGCTTTTTTTCCACTGATGCGATTCTTGGTATTTTTTATTCTGTTTCTCTTGCTTTTGGTGACCCCCTTTTCTGGGTTTTCAAAAAAAAAAAGCTAGGATGGTAGATCGAAGAGAGAGATAAAAGCCCATGTATATTAATAACGGGTGTTTGCCTTGATGATTCGCAGTTCTTATTTGATTTGTACACTGCTTCCAGGAGGGTTTTTCTGTCTTCTCTCGTATTTGTTGCCATATCTTCATGACTTTACGGATGCTTCTTTTGTCGTCTTATTTTAAATTAAATACGCTTTGAGATACAACAAGGAATTACATTGTGTAATGGGATGGGAAGGGAAACGAATGAATCAGTCTTGATCTTAGAATTTCACCCCCCCCCCCCCCAAAAAAAAAAAACACAAAAAAAAACAACAACCCAGAACCAACCCATTCTTTATCTGATAAGGACAGTTTTGGCTTATTCTGTGTTTTTGTTAAAACAAAGCTCTGATCTCGGTTTTTCGAGATCATTAATTTTGGGTGAAATAAAATTATGATTTAAAATCTATCAGTTGTTCGTTATTTTATAATTTTTTGTTAATGCTGTTTTAAACATGATCGTGCTTTCGTTTCGTTTGGTTAGGGTTTTATATTTCAATTTATTTTTGGTCTCCTCATGAAGATGCTCTTAATAGTATTTCTTGGTCCGGTGCCCTGTTTACTCACTTGTTATCGTAGTCAACTATTGCGTGGATAGCCCTTGCTTGAACTGGTGAGTGCTTTGACCTAGTTGTTTTGTTTTTTTGGCTCAGTAATATCGGAAATTATGCACATGCCTTAAACGATTTCACAGTGTTACAATGGGCAAAACCGTACCATGTAAAACAAATAATGACCAGTCAGGGACATGTGTGTGTGTGGTGAGGGAGGGGGGGTGAGAATAGAGTTCAATCATACAGGGGATCCGATGGTAAGGAGGAGGAGGGGGGGAGGAGGAGGAGGAGGAGGAGGGGGAGGAGGAAGAAGAAGAAGACAGCGACGGTCATCACCACCACCACCACAACAACAACGACAACAACAACGATTCCGACGATGACGACAACAAATAATAACCACCACGACAACGACAATGATAAAAACAACAACGACAACGATGAAAAAAAACAACAGCAACGACTATGATAACTACAATCACCACAAGAACGACGACCGAGACAACGCTACGAAGGACAAGGAGGAGGACAATGACGACGTCCACCGATTTGTGACACCCTGTGACCACGAGACAAAAATGTCGAAGGGAGATAACAGAGCAGATTTAACTTTTGCTTCTCAGACAGACAGAGTTATAACCCTTAATTAGAAAATTCAACGTACATGACAATCCTGTTGAAAGGAAAAAGGGATCGCAAAACAGGAAAAAAAATCATAATATTGTGTTTCATTTTGGTGAAATCAACGCTCGTCATAATAATGGCGTTGGAGAAACCGACATTTTCCCTGTGCAATGAGCAATTTTTATTGGTTACTTACTTGTCTTACTTGTCCATTGTGTTGGGGTCACTGCAGTCGGAACATGTCCACCTCTGCTCTCCCCCCTCCCCCCCTTCAGGATCCATCCCAGAGTCTGTCTACTTATAGTCTCCGTCATAATCTGGTTGAAGATCCGTCGGACTGGTCCGCACAGTTGGCTGTGTTTTCCCTCTAACACCCTTTATCTTCATTTTTGAGAGCATTTTACAGCAAAAAAGGTTGATCAATGGCACAAAATTGTAAATTTTCATTTGCCAAGGACACTCAACCATTGGAAATAAATTATCAAGCTGTGGGGGCCCTTTTCTCAATACTTTTCATCTCATACCACGCACGCTTCAATCGAAATTATGTCGACTTCTAATCAAGGTAGGTGGTATTATTTTTCCTCAAAAGCAAGACAGAACAACAAGCTTCAAGGTTATACTAATAACTTTATATGCCTCAAAACTGACAAGTACCTGTTTCCACCATGTTGCAACACTTATATTAATGGGAAGATAATCCACATGCATAACCTAATATACCGCTTGAATTGTGAAGACTTTATAAGTAAGGGTATTATAGGTTTTCATAGAACGTGCACGATCATCAATGTATGGTATACGCCCTGCATTAGTTGTGAAAACCTGTTTTTCTGGGGCAGCATCACTAGTGGATGTGGATATGAACAATTTGTTGAAAGTGTCTTTTCGTAAACCAAAACAGAGATGTTTAATAGAACTCACAATCACTCCTATTGTACGTATGTATGTATGTATGTATGTATGTATGTATGTATGTATGTATGTATGTATGTATGTATGTATGTATGTATGTATGTATGTATGTATG